TTAAGTGTCTTTTGTTTCTCAATTCCCAAAAGAGACTTGGATACAAAGAAAACAACACCAAATATAGATGTTTGTCCTGAAAGCCTCGGAGCCATGTTAGAATATTGATATGCCGAACGTGGCCTATTTCTGTTTTATTTTTCGTGGTTGTCATGTGACATCATCGCCGCGATGTTGGATGACATTAACAAAATAATTTTAATCAAATTCGTTTGTTTTTGTTATATGCATTTATTATGGTGGCTTCTTCAGTAGACTTGCTCAGATGTAGTTGAGCTGTGAAAGCCGAGCTCGGACATTATACAGCGAAAAATGTCAGCGACGCTCAAAACTTGAGTGCGAAGAGCAGAAGCTGGTAGATGGCTGCCTACAAGTTGCTCGGCTCGGCAACCGTTTGGCAACTTTCGTTATTTGGAGCAACTTTTGATTTGGGGGGCAACTGCATGCATGGATTGAATTTTAAGCAACTTATGGGAATTACAAAATCATATAATACTGTTTAAGCCTTGTTATGTATCCTTTTAAGAAAATTTCAGTTCTTTAATAACTTTTTAAAACGTGCTAATTCAACCTTGTACGCGGTTTGAGGTCAGCGGTTCGCAAACACCGAAATTTGAGATAGTTTAGAGGAAGAAATTTCCAGCTCTTCCTCAAATGAAAAGTAACGACCCTATCAGAGAAACCAAACAGCTTGGAGCAAACTCAGTTAGCCTGAAAACGCTGCAACAGCCAGAAAACGAAAATTCCAGAGGAATATAGCCTGGCCACTTAAGGGAAAGACAGCGCGCTTCAGCTCGGAATTTAACAATCATTTAAATGCTCGGGACTCAGAGATCGATAATCTAGAAGTTCGTGTATTCTACAACATCCAAACGTCAAGTACTATTGGACATATCTTAATTTTTTATTATTATTAAACGCATGCGATTCTATCTTTACTCTGATTGTTTCAGAAACATAAACCTGTTAGCTTTGCCAGTTGTAATACATAAACGACTTTTCCCACGGATCAATTAAAATTAACTGATGACTTTTTAACCCTACCTAAGCTTTCATTTAGTTGCTTTACGCTTTTTTAAATCCTACTTTTTTTGTACACCAGAACGCGTTTGACAATAAAACAAGAAACTAGCTCAGTAACAAGTTAAAAGGCAGCTTCTTTCCTCAAGGATATGTCCCCAATAAAAACCAGTAAAAGAAGTAACTACGGCCTTCCTGCATTAAATCCGTTATTCTTATCTCAACCGTGAATTTGAATAATTTTTTCATCAAATGTTCGTTTCTGGAAAATGATAATGGAAACTTATTCGGAGCTCTCCTCAGGTCGCAAAAGAAAATCCACAGCGCGGGCCTCCATGCAGGCGCGGTAACCTTCCCGATGGTAGGCAGTGAACATGGCGGGTGTAAAGAACTGATTGGCAGTAGAATGATAAGGGAACGCGCCGCAAAGGGATCCTGATAAAAACTGAAGCGGGGAACAATGACAACACTCGCAACAGCAACATGTCAAACGCTCCACTTCTTCTGTTTCCACTTCAGGTCCGCTCCCCCACAAGTCAGCCTCGATATCAATCTTGATGTCACCGGTTATCTCGCCCCAGCTCTTTCTCTCTCCCGAAAGGCCATATTTAGGGTGGCGTGGAAGAATATAAAGCACTTCTCCTTCCCCAACCTTCTTTTCCTCACCTTCGTCCGTGTAGTCGTAGTACTCGACCTTAAATCGATAACTTCTCGGCTGCTTTCTCGCTGGCCTATCGATTACCTTTGTCCTTAGATCTTCATATACGTCTCTTCCGTTCATTCCAGTGAATGAACAGTGCAGTTTTTCCCTAGCTTTTTTCAGTGCGGTGATCAGATCTCCTGCGATCCCTAAATCCTCTAAGTCTCCACCATCCACAACTACAATCTTCTGCAACCTCTTTTTCAGCAATGGTAAAATGCCCAGGTTTTCAACGTGGCCGCCGTCAGACAGGTAAAGAATCGGAGGAGGAGTGGGGCCAACGTTAATTACTTCCAACAGTTCCCGGATGAACCTGACCTGATATATATTTACGATGCACCACCTACATAAAGAAATTGAATCATCCAAACTGTTAGTTTCAATATCGCGTTTAAAAGGTTCTGTAGTGTTCAGAATGGACGATATAGATACGAAACAGTCATCACGACTGAAGAAGAGTATTGAATCGAGCTGCGAATATATATTGACTGCTTTACAAATGTTCTGGTCTCTAAAAGAAGACCCAGATATAAGAGTAAACGCACCCCTTCCCCCACAGATCCTATGTATACCAGCAGCATTTTCGCGTGCGGTCCCTTTTCACATTTTCAAATGCCGACGTGTTCCTAGCTACAAATTTTGACATCATTGTAAATGGTGTACCTTACAAACTTTTGCCAACATCCGGGATTTTCTGCGCCCGTGGGCATCACGGCGATCAGCGTCAACAAGCAGAGAAACACAAGAAAAAAGATCACAGTTCTTTTGTTCCAGACGTCACTTCCGGCGTGCAGGAATGGAATCATGGGAAACCCAAGGATCGGAAACACCAAAATAAGTTGAATAAGAATAGCAACACACTAAAAAATAAGAAAGCAAAGGAATTAATCGTTTGCTTTGGCTAACTGACACTTGAAACTTTATTATTCTCAATTTTTTATTCTTTGATGATGTTCCTTTGCACTAATGTGAAGGGTTTCTTTTTGTCGGTTTGCTGGTTTGTTTTTGTTTGTACACATGCGTAAGAATTTCGCATATATATACTTCTATTTATTTATTTATTTATTTATTTATTTACAGTATTGCATACTTGAGAACATTCTTATTGACATGACATGACATGACATGGATATACGTGACGTGACGTGACAAGACATGACACGACAATAAATACCGTTGAAAGGCATCCTGTCCATTCTTTGGGCTCGGCTATTTGCGATTTGCCAAATCCTAGTCCAAGCATGATCTGTATACTCTGTAGAGATGCAAGTTTACTTTCGTATTGCCCCATGTGATACGATATCGCCGCAGCTGAAGTGGCCATGGCTTCCGACAACTTGATGTCTGCTGGATGAAGTCTGTTTTCAAACTGGAGTTTTCCTGAATCGTTGTCAATTCTTTCGATTCCAGAGGGTGCCATTGTAAGGAGCTCAAAGGGTGGTTCTCTGACAGAAATGAGCAGAGAGTTAAGTTTTATGAGTATATAGAGTCGATTCATCAAAGACTGTGCGTTCCTGACAAAGAACGGGGCTGCTCGTTGTACTGTTTTAGGGGTTAAAAGAAGCGGGAGTACCCTGGAAACGAGCTAAATTGACCTCTGGAGCTATCGTGTTGCTTTCACGTCGGTTTTTTATTATATATTTATTTATTATCATTATCATTATCATTACCATTATCGTTCATCGTTACCGTTACCGTTATCGTTATCGTTATCGTTGTCGTTGTCGTTGTCACCGTCGTTGTTATTATTGTTTTTGTTATTGTTATTATTGTCATTGCCATCGTTATTATTATTGTTGTTATTATTATTATTATTATTATTTGTTTTCATTTATTTATTTATTTTTTTTTTTTCATCTTTGTTGCTTTGAGAATTTTTTTTAGGGTAGAATTTACAATTTGCATTCTCCAAGAGAGGTTGCTGGTAAAATTTGCCGGCTGGTCTTGATCTGATATCAACGTGCATAAGGCCATAGAGCTAATGCGATCTTTACTTCTCGTTTTTAGCTTTGTATTAACTTACTAATAAGTATACTTGGCTAGGTACCTATGTGAAGGTTTCATTCGCCATTCATGCACTGTCACGTTGCAGATGTATTCTGGTGACAGACCAACCAGGTCATCTAAGGTCAAAGGTCGATTCAAACTCTCTGAAGATGGTTCCCAACAAGTGCACGAGGGAAATACGTCTTGGCACGTGATTCCTGAGCAGCCTGTCGCCCCAGTACTCTCAGGAGAGTAGAACGCTTTCTGAAGACGCCATCTAAAGGAAAATGACTGGTAAGATTGGCCAGCATGGTAACCGCGTTTTTCCTAACTGAATCTGAAAATTTTCTATTTAAACTTGAATGACACTGAAATACCTGTTGTAAGCGTGGAGGGCATTTCTTTGAAACACTCCAAGGAAGGGGTTGATCCAGATCAAAATGCCAGAGATCCACATCAACACATCAAATCTATTGTCACTGTATTCCACAAAGAGAACTGCTGTTTTATATACTCTCCACTTAACAGCATAAGCGTACAGATAGACAATCATAGCTAACGACGCTTTGTCGCGTAAAGGAGGTACACCGAGCCATAAGAAAATACTGAGAATGAGTATCAGTGCGTTGAGCCAAAGGGGAGTTACAACAATGTACTCCTCTATAAGCCAGGGAAGAAAAACCATTGCAAACACGAAACCTGTAAGGTTAAACAGAAAATTAGCCAAGGGTTTCACAGAAGGTGCAGCCACTTTTTTGATGACAAAAAAGAGAAGGAACAAGATAAAGAGATAGGCAAATGTCATGAACGTAAAGTACATTTCTGGGCCTAATTTGGGCACACATTCAATCGTGTCTGTCATGTTAAAAAGCTCAGAAACCTCGGAATTCTCAGAGATATCAGAAGAGGTGAAATTGTGCGTTTTTACGTCTGGGCACGTGAACGGATCTCGCAACAAACTACCAAAGAAGTAATCGATGATATAAGCTGTTGGAAAAGCGAAACCAAACCAGTTAAAGCAGGGAAGAATGATAGCAACAAAAAAGCTGAGGCTGAAAATTATGAGTGTGTCGAAGAGCCCTTGTAAAGGATTCTGCCAGTTACACCAGATCCCTGCCCTTCTACAGTGCTCGAAGAATTCTTTATGCCATTTTGGATCGTCTCTTTGCTCGTTGCGATACTTCCAATCCATGTAAGCCGAGCCTATGTAACCGCCCCCGGACACACAGCTGAGATAGTCTGGGGTGATTCCTTTCTGTAGAAGTCTGCGCAGGACTCCAGAGCAGAGTGCCGCTGACCGAATCCCTCCTCCAGAAAATGCTACACCGGTGTTACTCATTTTGAAGTGGAGTTATATTCGAACGGGCAAACACTGTTAAAGAAGAGAAATATTGCATTAAATCTATTGAAGCCACGTTGCATAACTGACACTACGTCACGCTTGACCTACCTTCAGTAGGGCTTATTACTGGATTTTTGCGTCTAAACCCTGGTTTTCACTAGCGACGCAAGCACAAGCGCAAGTGCAAAGGGAAGCAATAGGGATGACCAAAGTGGAAACGAAATTCGACGCAAACACAAGCACAAGCAAAATCATTCGAACCTTCCAAACTGTTTAGGCGCGAGGTAATCTGGATTCAGCCAAAACCCAATCGTTTTCATTGGCCAAACATAACCACGTGTGGTAAATATCCTTGTGCTTGTGTTATGTCTGAGCGGTTTTTCGTTTACGCTTGTTGTAGCGCAAACGCAAGCATAAGCGCAAGCACAAGGAAAAAGAAAAATTTTGATCCCTGTGCTTGTGTTCGCGCTTGTGCTTATGCCCGCGTCAAGGCCGTTTTCACGGTGAAATAAGAATTATTGCGTTTGCGCTTGTGCTTGCGTCGCGAGTGAAAACCAGGCTTAAGCTTTCGTGGGCTATATTTTTTAAGCGGACGTGTTTGGAGTGCTATTTTTTGAGATGAAGGGGTCTTATGGCATATGACTTACAAGCAGTTAGCCCAGGGAGAACTGCAGTGCAAGATTTCAGAGCTTAGAGGGGTGTTTAAAAAGGGCCTGAAACTGTGCCGACTAGGAATCGTGAATAATGTGTGCTGAAATTATGTTACTTCGACGTCTGAATATGTTTCAGCATTAAACAATAATAACAATTAAAGCTGATCTTTACTAAGAGAAGCTAAAGCCAACACCAATTCGAAGTTTTAAAGCTCTAAATGGAAGATTTACTTGGATATGGAACGCAATTCAGTGGCAATCATTTCCCCTTATTTTAAACTTATCTGTGCACCACTTGGTTAACGGTTGATTGATACAGAAATCATCAACAGTGTTTTACTGTTCGCGCCATTTACAGGTTTCTAACTTAGATTGAAGAGCTTCACTGAAACCACAGTTCCCTCGAATCATTGATAAAATTACAACATTGAGGAATCACTGAGCCCCAATGATATTCCTAAATCTCTTTCAGTTTCAAATACATGATGTGTTGTTAGAAATGACCTCTATATGACGTGAACATATGCTAATCACATATTTCGCCATAACGTTTTCAATTCGCAGCCGAAATATTTCATGGTACCTCTGGATTCGTTCTCACAGTCAAATATAAACTTTATAAACTTAATATAAATTTCAAAACACAAAATGTAAATACGTTATACCTCGAAATATTTGACCTCCACTGCTTTGAACCCTGTTCTCGGAGCTGGTTACGTTGGTTGTAATAAATTGTTAACTACAGTTAAAACTTCACGTACTAACGTGAAATCCTGTTGATTAAGTTGAATGACAACCGTTTTAATAATAATGACCCTTCGATTAAAACCTGAAATTGTCAACCTGTCGCCACCTGCGTGAAGTTCCCCAGGGAAGAAAGGATGAAACGAAAGCTGGTTCAACTTTCATGAACAGGGCTACTTATTTAGAAGTCTTCTTCAGAGCCGGAAAAGTTCTATAGGTCTCGGTGCATAACGTTTTCCCTTCCGTAGTAATTAGCTTTTCCTTAAGCTTTAATTAAACCGAAACAATTTGGTTCACCATCCACCGATCTTTGAACCAATCTTCAGGCAGAATCCGAACTGAGCAGAACGAGAAAGACTTTTGTGCACGCTGCCGGAACAATGCGACGTGTATTAGCGCTATATACACGGCGAGTTTGTGGCGTCTTAGTAGCCACCCAAAAGAAGCAAATCCTCGAATGTATAAGGATCTTCTGAAAAGGAATACATAGAAAAATGATCCTTAAAGTACCCCAACTAGGAGGTTCGTTTAACAGTATGTCGTTTAAATCCGAAATCGGCTGCTAAAAGGACCAGAACTAAAAAATATTCTTTGCTAAAAATAGGCGTAACATTTTTCGTATCTCGAAAATATTATTCAGTTACACAACCCAACGAGTAAAAACTGTGCACATTTTAAATCCTGGCCGCTTGAGCGTACAAATAATGGCTCCTTCGCTTCTTTGTTACCAGTTGTCTGAGCATTACTATAGAGGCGAAATGATTTAGTGGGAAGTCGTGCCGAGTATAAAACGTACAGAGAGATATATTACGATTAGGTCCACTTCTCCAGGCAACCTAGTCTCTAAACACTTCCATCATTGGTGCCTAACACAAACATTGCATGGTGTCACCGAGAACGAGGGAAAAAAGTAACTTCCATACTAGCTCCAAGGCCATAATCCGCAATTTGTGTTGCAGCAATGCATAGAACGGGCTAATATTTAAATAGAGCTGGAAGTTGGCAAGATAAGCCAGATTTGCTCCGATTTGCAGAAGAAGAGCCACATTTGCTTATGCCCGCGGGCATTAAGGCCGTGATCAAGAGAGATGTTAATTCCCAGTTAGTTGGGAAAAAAACTGATAGTAATAAAACGTTAACGAGAGCTAGATAATAAGCTTCTTATAAACTCTGGCGGACTAACTCGGAACCGTAGTGGGATAATATCCCCTACGGTCTTTCTCGTACGGACCTCCGGCTGCTTTCACCCGGCCTGAATCAGGAAGACTTCGGGCGATATTCTCTCAGTAAGACCCTCTCGCTTGCTTAATAAAATTAACTATATAAAAAATCATGTTATCCTACACTACCTTGTAGAGCTACAAGGTCGCCCACTGTCTTACAACGTTCCTAGTCAAGCAAAAATTTATTTGCCCGCCTAGCGTTCTGTCTCACCCATCGAGTGTTAAAAGTTTCATCACAGACTTACAGTCAATTTCTTCGAGGTCCGGCTGTGCTCATGTACTAATTGTCAAGGATTACAGATTGTGGACCCGTGTTTATAACGTTGAAGTTACCAAAGGACTTCTTCCGTCGAGATCTAACTCAAGATGCATAAGAAAAGGACCGAACAAGTCTAATTTAATTTAGTTTAATTTAATTTGCATGTGGCCAACTCAGTAAAGTACCGCTTACACGACCATTTGTTAACATCATGGTCTTGACTGATTTAAGTTTTCGCCTCCACAAAATTGATATTCCCAATATGCTGAAAATTCTGTATAGCTATTATTTCTTGTGTGGTTCCTACCCAGCTTAACGTTTTTCTTCATTTCTTCATCATTCCTTGAAAACAGATACTTCGTCTCTAGGGATAGAATTTTTACTAAACAAATGACGAGCGTCCCAAACACAACAAACCAGCCGGCTGGCATCCCGCAAACAAAATAACAAAACAGTTATTAAAAAGAACGAGTGTTTCAGTCGTTTTAATTTCAACTCTGGGCAGGTTAAATTTACCAAGACATTTACATCACTTTGAAAGCCAATGAAAATAATGCTTTTGTTGTTCAATGAAGGAACAAAACTACTACTTCGAAGCCTTCCTTGCATTCCTAAAAACAAATTATCAAAAGAAAGGAGCAAATACGAATCACAAATCAATCTTTAAAAACTTTTAAAAAGTGTTCTTGCTGTGAATCTGGCATATGTAATTACCCCAGGAACCAATTTAAGCTTGGAAATAAACAAAGAAAAAAACGCTACAAGACACATGCAGCACTCGACCTTTCGATTCGTAATCACGTTTTAGCCTTGACTTCTGTGGTTTGCGTAACCATGGAATTCGGTTACTCCTTTAAACATCTTTCGGCGAGATCAATTCGTTCACACGTTGCTTTAAGCCAGGCTTGTTTCACTGAATTTTAATTCAGTGCTTAAAAGCAGATAAGTAACACTTAAATCATGATTGTTTTGTAAGTTATATCTTGCTTGCACGGTCAAGATTGGCGTTAGAAAAAACTAATTTGCGCAAAGCTATCTTTGTTTGGATAACGCACCGACCCTTTGTGTCTCCGTTACAAAGACAAAAAAATAATTTTACCCTTGCGCGCGGATTGTATTGCTTTATTAGCATTTCGTGGAGACTAAAAAAGGCACAGCAAATACCCGTTTTGTCTCGTATTAACATTTTTATAGAATTTTGCCGTATTTTTATTTCAACAATGGTAACTTCATACCTCATGCATACCATTTCTTTTTTGGAGATATTAATTTTCGCAGGTATAATTTTTCAGAATTGTGCAGCTATTTGAGAACATAAACGAACATTGATCATCTTGTGCGAAAACACATAACACCAGTACAAAGGGGTGAGTTATTTTAGAGAGGGTATTCCTATTTTCGTTATCTTTGCAAAGCCTCGACATGCGTAGCGCAATCGCTTACAAAGGAGAGGCGATTTCAGATACTTCCCACTGGGTCAGTGTTTGTTGGTCTACGTCGTTGCCTGAGGCTCTCTCCACACTAATGCGTTCTCGTGATTTTTTTGTTTTTTCGCTCCGCGTTTGATATCAGGTACTTTCAGTCTGACACGTTTCCGCCTACCGTGCACACTAAAACGATCAAAAACGCTCGACGTTTGTTGTCGAAACGGCGCAGGCATTTGAAAACATTGTCCCGCCGGAGTGAACACATTTGAACGCGGAGCCTTATCAAGAAATATGAACAGCGAAAACAGAGGCTTTTGAAAACGCTGGCATCATTCACATCACATACGCATTGCAAAGGACACGAGTGGCGTTTTCTCGCCGCATGTCAGCGCTTTGGTGTAGACGGATAAAACGCTGCGAAAACGGTTGCGCGGATGGGAGCGTTTCCCGCGAAAACGTATCATCGAAAACGCATTAGTGTAGACGGGACCTAAGAATTCCTTTGCTATGAAATTTAGCCATTCAAGTTACTCGGTTTTTTAGGAAACTATGTAAATTCAAACTAAGTACCTCTAAAATGACTCCAGATGGGGTGAATTAAGCCATGACATTTTTCTTGAGCTCTTACTTGAAAGAATAAACTAATAATAGTAATTTAAGGTCATTTAAGGGCAGAATATGTCCAAGCCTATGCAAAGAGCATTTTATTTACCTTTGCTTTTAGTGACCTCGCGCCAAATTATGTTCACACTGAGCTAATTCAACCACGACTAATGGCGCCAAAAATATTAGACAAACTTGAGCTTATCTTTTGGACTTAAAGTTCGAGAGATCTTTATTC